TTTGCAAATTTTAGCTGATGTCTGGCATTGAGGCAACAGGTGGTGCACACATGCACAGTCAGGGAGGAGTGGAGGGGTTGGGGATGTGTGTGTGTGTGTGGGGTGGGGTTTGGAGGGCTGAGTATAAATGTCACACTTTTCAGATTCCATGACCCATTTTCCACCTCATAAATAATATGCTCCCTTTGTGTTGGTCTATCACATAAAATCCAACAATCCAGTCTGGGGTCTGCAGATGTTTGCAGGGTCCTCTATCACAATGCCTGCATGGATTCTTCAAATAATATTTAAACTGTCATGCTTTAAATTGCCTTCATTATTTTTGACCTATACTCTTTTAATTATTTAGCCTTTTCATATTTGCTTTACCTTATAGAATATGTTGATACCTAAAGTTTGATTTATGATCATTTCTGCTCATTTGGTGATGATGTGACAGTTTAGGCAGATGGAAAAAAAAAAGAAAAAGCAGACATCTACTCAGCTTTTCTTGCTGACTGGTCATCGCCTGGTCAGACTAAAGCAGCTATTTAATGATGAACTCTTACAGGAATGTGGCAGGATGAGACCCTGACGGCCTGGCTTACCCTGGTGATTTGATTCATACCCTCATTCACCAATACATGGAAATTGGATTTGCACGAGGACGTTCACTATTGTCTCAACAGCTCACACTTTGGTGACGTATGATGTCACCGCAAATAGAAATGAAATCGTCTCTACGTTGGAGCAAAGTGTCGTGTTCGATTCAGACAGATGACACGGCGGCGGAAAGGATTTCTGACAGTGCGTGGAAAAAGTAGAGATCCGCAGTAGACTGACCGTGAAAGCAGGAGTGAACCACTTTTTAGCACCTCACATTGCCTATTGTGGGAGCACCCTACCAGAGTCATCGATCCCCTGCAACCTGTGCGCATGGCACGAATTGAACCGATATTGAGTCGAAGACGGTGTTGTGGCTGTACGGTGATGTCTTAAGGCAGGTCCTGGTCAAACCTACCAATGGTACTAGTCGGTCCTACTCTGCTGGGACTGATCGCAATGAATGGGTGTCGGAGCTCTGCACGGCAAAGGAGCACCCACAGCGCGACGAAGCGGATAAGGGGATGCGGCATCGGAACGCGGGAGCGGTCAATCAGCACCACACACCAGACGAAGAGCGAGGGAACAACGAGCAGAGCCGAGAGCAAGTCGCGCCCGTTTTCAATCTGCCGCCCCCGCCCTCTTCTCACCACAGAGTCCGCACTCCAACCACCGCCGCTCAGCGCCAGAGCCTCCAGGAGCTCCCGTGTGTGAGCCAGCCCCCTCGGAGATCGGTTCACAGCGGCGACCTGCTGCCGCTGGCGAGCTGCGACAGCAGCCGGCGACCTTCACAGCGAGGCGGCGAACCCAGCGCCGGTCAGCCGGTGCACCTGCGGCAGGATCCCATTCTCTGGGCCCCGGACGGCTCGCAGCAACCGTCGCCGCCGCTGCAGTCAGAGAGGGAGGCTGTTTTTCCAAGCTGCCACTGCAGTTTCTTGGAACAAGAAGCGAGCCTTCCTCCAAATCAATCCCATCCTGTAGACTCTTTCCCCCCGCAGTCCTCCCCGCCTTTCCCACCACTTCTGCCGCCGCCACCAACGTCTTCCTCCTCCTCTCTGCGCTTTTCCCGGAGATCTGGAAGAGGGGATCGTCTCCGAAGGAGCGCCAATAATTACCAACAGGCGAACACCGTGGAACGCTGCAGGGGAGGAGGAGACCACAGGCAGTTGTTGCAGCCACAGCAGCAGCAGCAACACCGTCATTTAGGACTCCAACAGAGGGACCCCTCCCCTGAAGGAAGCCGTGCAAACTCACAAAAAGGGCACTCTTTAAATGCACGCGAGTCAAACGAGGCTAAGAAAGCGTTCGAGTTTCAGATTCAGGATCTGCAGCAGCAACAGATCCCACAATTGCGAGCGCAGCAACAGCTACTGGTGGGAAGCAGCCTGCCCGTCAACTACTGCGCAAACGGCTCCGGAGAGCTATGTAGAACTCACCGGGCTCCTCTGCTGCAACAGCAGGAGCGGCAGCAGCTGCTGCAGCATCGGCAGCAGCAGCGGCTGCAGCAGCAGCAGCAGCAGCAAGGCGCGCCGGGGCTCCGTCCCCAGCCGTCGCAGCAGCAGCAGCAGCAGCAGCACTGTGACAGAGATCGCAATAAGTGTGGACGGATCGCAACGGAGGGCGGTCAGGCGCAGCCACACAGCCGCGTAACCCCTCCTGCAACACCGCACGCATATGCGGGGAACTCGTCTGCTTCTGGCAGCCACAGCAGCAAAGACAGCCCCAACTACGGCTCCAGCTATCACCTGTGGCCCGAGAGCCCGCATAAAGGAGAGGAGAGGATCCGCATCGACCTCCATAAGGTACAGACCCTCCTCTCCCATCAGCTAATTAACCGATCCTGGCAACAAACAAACTGCTGTTAGCTTTTCATTTAATGACCACGCCTGTCATCTGATTTTGATAGAACACAATATATTCTAGGTGCAGTGAGCGGCGTGTGTGCGTGTGTATGTGATGGGCTACACATTATTTTCAGCGTCGACAGAAACACACTGATGTAAGTACTTCACATGTGACCCAGCATGTTGTGTGGTATTTTGTTTCATTTGGTTACGCGAACACGCGCGCGCACACAAAAGAGCAATGGCGCTGTGTCGCGCGCACACACCTGTTCCGTGTTGCAGACTTGTTTTGGGGGGCCCGCTGACAGGAGCCTAATGAAGCTCCCCGGCAACCGAATTACAGCGCGTTTGTTGCTCCCGCTGAACAGAGGGGGACCAGAGTGGAGGATGCTCCCGTTCTGCTTTCCCGACACAACACACAGAGGCTAGGTAAACCGACACAGGCCTTTACCTGCAGCAGAGGATGGCCAACTTATTCCACTGACGTTGGATATACAGAATGTTCTGCGTACTGAATATTCTGGTCAAAAGTCTTGATCCACTTTTATTTATGGAAAAAGAGCCCTGTGCATATTTCATATTTCTGTTGTAATATACTTGTATGTTTCTAATCACCAAATTATTTAATATCAAATAAGGGTGACCTTATGTGATATTACACATAATATAATATCACATGTTGAATTTTGGGTTTTTATTATCTGCAACATAATATACAGCTCTGGGGGAAAAAAAAGAGACCAATGTAAAATTATCAGTTTCTCTGATTTTACATTTCATAGGTATATGTTTGAGTAAAATGAACATTGTTCCTTTTATTCTATGAACTACTCACAACATGTCTCCGAAATTCCAAGCAAAATATTTGTATTTATTTACAGAAAATGAGAAATGGTTAAATTAACGAAAAGGATGCAGCACTTTCAGACCTCAAATAATGCAAAGAAAACAAGTTCATATTCACATTTACACACACACACACACACACACACACACACACACACACACACACACACACATATGTAATGTATCCAGTAACAATATATACTGATCTCCAAGATGCGCAAAAGGCTCAGTAGAGAGAAAATAACATTAGAACAAAGCTTGTGTACAAAACGAGCGGTCTCACTTTAACTGAAACTGTAGGTGTGTGTCTGTGTCTCATGCAATTTTGATTAAAACAGGCTTGTTCTTCATTTAGTGAAGTTACTCACAGTATAGGGTATCCAGTAATTTTATCAAGTAGGAGTAGTGATATTTTCACAGTAATATTACTCAAGTAAAAGTAAAAAGTGGAGTACAGTAAAACTAAACCTACAAGTAAGTTTTTTTTTCTTCACAAAAAGTTACTCCAGGAAATGTAACTGACTTATTGTGACAAGTTACAATCCACATATGAAGGTGAGACAGCATGTCTTAATTAGAACAGATTGATGTTAAAGGGGCAGTCTTATATATTTTCCAGGTCAATAGTGCCATTTTATAGCACAATCCAGTATCTATGTTAACTTCAGTTGTTATAAAAATTCTGTAAATATCAAATATGACTTTAAAGAAATTTGACTTTGCATATGAATGCATTGAATTTAGGCCTCTGTCTCTCTAAAAACTCTTGATCTTTCTGAAGCTCCACCTTAATTAAGTCATCACAACATGGCTCCTCTATTAATCCTTTAACGTTTTTACCAGTGTTGCACTCAGAAGTAGCTCCTCTAATGAACTCGGTAGCTGCGCAGTTCCACCAGGTGCTTGCTAGTAGCCGCTGATTAGTCTGAAGGAACTGAGTGGGGGAGTCGCACAGTTGAAACATCAGTTCTTGCTAAAAAATATCTAAAAATATTTGCTTTGTTTCATGCAAGAAAACCTCTGTTGTGGAAAGCATGAGCTCTCTATACAGTGCTATTCAAAATGGCAGCTACTCTCATTATGAGAAATATTTTGAACAATACAGGTGCATGTCAGTCAACTAGAAAATCATCTAAAATTTCATTTGTAACAGTTGCTGAATTCAAAGGGTAAAGCTCGGTTTATAGATTTTAAAAAATTGGACTGCCCTTTGAGGCGAAAGCTCTGAGGCTTGGAAACTGCAGCTTAGAGGAGGAGCTGCATCTGGAAGGCAGGGCTATGTTTACCTAGTTGTTTTGCACAGCTGAATGGTTGCCATGGGAGACTAAAGGATTTCTCAAAGATGCATCAAGGCAATCAAGGCAACACTGTGTGTATGTTTTTAATGAGGGAATAACATTATAAAATGATGTGAAGCTCAAAAAAGTCGATTTTTACATAATACTGCCCCTTTAATTGAAAACATAAATAACAGACAAAGTAAATAAAAGAAGTGCAGACTTGTTAAGTGTCTGATCTGTACAACAGTGCAGCATTTGAGCTGTTTAGCAGCCTGCTGGTTCTAGTTCGGAACATATCTCTAGATATATTAGGACTACAACAACCCTGCTAATAAAAACACCAATCTCAGTTATGTAGCTGCTGCCTTGAAATTAACTAACAATGACAAGCATTACAGTGCGTCTCCTGAAACCTGATTCTCAAGATCTAATAGGGGAGTAAAAGTCATGTCCTTAAACAATTTGAGGACACTGCACAGGTATAGGGCATAAGAAGTGTCTGAGCTAAATGAACTGCTGTGTCCTTCAGAAACAGGAAAATAATACCTGACTCCATCCAGGGTGGTAAGATTCCAGGGACTGGACCTTTTGATGCTCAACCATTGAAGGTGCAGATGTGATATTTTAGGACTGGAAACAGCAAATTCACACAGCCAAACATTTGTGAATAACATTTTCACCTTTGAAAGCCTTTTTGTAATACGGCCTTTAGTTTGGGGTTGTTTATAATTTAAAACCATCATTTTTGCTAGGTCTTCTTATGTGTACAAAAAAACAAAACAAAAAAAAAACATAGGCATAAACAGCAAATCTCTTTATGTCCTTTTTCATTATGATTGCTGTTAAATTTGATATTAACCATTTCCATAAGTCTTTTGGAATTAGCTTGTATAGAAATGGGGTTTGTTCCAAATTCAACAAGAACATTTCAGGCAAATGACTGAGTGACAGCAGGGTTCCAACCAGAGATGGGGGCCAGTCACAGTCAGCGTTTACCCCCCAAGTATCAAGTCAGGTCCTAAGTAAAGAAAGTACCAAGTCAAACTTTGATTATGAAGTCTTGGACAAGTTTGACCTCAGGCTGCTTGTGACCTGTTGTGAATTAAATGGAAGATAAACAGTCAGTTAATTAAAACAAATAATGGGCAAATTGATCCATAATCAAAATAACTATATTTCATTATAAAACTATCCATATAATTGTCAAAATTATTTTTGCTATTTACTCCACTGTTTGCTCCATCAGAGCATCAGTAAATGTTAATACATTTAAAAGTATGATTAAAGCAGTTGTAAGCAGTTTAGTGACACAAATCCCACTTCTTTATGTAGATGCTGTCCTGAAGAAGCTATGATATGTTCAGTAATTCAGTAATATGATCAGTAATTGTGCTTGTGGGGCGGTGACTGCAGTCACCTTCAGTCACAGCTGTACAGTTACCTGAAGAAGACTGAACAGAAGTTGTGAATACTTTCTTATCATCACTTTTATTGTTATTACTGTGAATATGGCATTTGGAAAAGAAAAACAAAAGGAAAAGCTAACATTAACTATTTATTGGTCTCTATTTTTGCTTTGGCTTATCAATCCTTGTGTATGTTTAAATGTGGAAAGTTAGTTGTTTAGCCTGCAGGTCTTACTTCCCCATATTTATTTGTTTTTGATCAATTTGTACTTAGTGCCAGAAAGAGGAAAAACAATTCTGCCAATTTTTTCTCTGTTGTGTTAGATCTGGATTTAAGATGTAAAACTATAAGAAGGCTGGAGTTAAAACAGTTAACCTCAACTGATTTATGAAACCTAAGTGACACTTTGTGAAATATGCTGGATCCTCTGAATATCAAGAGATTGAAACAGGAAATCTTTGTAATGGAAATAATTTGTCCTGTTGAAAAGGTGTTTTCTGCTGGTAACCCACCTGTGTGACATGATGGAGAGAAGTGGGGATTTTATTGAATTTTTATTGAAACATTTCCATTATGACTTCAGGGTATTCTCTATCGTAAAGCATTTTGCTCTGATCCTATCATCCAGCACAACGCCTGTTTACTTATAGCAGCTCTGGCAATAATGTTGATACAACCACTGACAGCGTTCATGACACTGACTCCAGGCTGGCAGTAAAAACATCGGCCCTTCATCAGTTGCTTCTATCTGCATTTGAGAAGCTACTTGATATGGCTTTAACATTATTCTGCATAAGATGCTCTGTTTGGGTGATTTGGGTGACTTGGGTGATGTTCCAAGTCCCTCCCAATGTCGTGTAGCCCTCTATGCTAGCGCTGACAGGGGTAACCTCTCCACCACTGTGGGCTTCTTTGCTGTTATCTTAGAAAAAAAGAGGGAAAAGAATGTTGCAGCAACAAGTGGATCAAATATACATAGCTCTGTTGTATTGTGCCGGGTTACGGCTCCATTGTGACGTTCTTTTTGTTTCATGTAAAACATAATGAATTTTCAAGTCAAACAGCTCAATGAGGTTATGAGATATTGGTGTGAAAGTCCAGGTCAAATGCCAAGTCTTTAATGATATTAAGAAGTTCAAGATCTTTACATTTGTGACCTGGATGGATGGATGGATGGATGGATGGACGGACATATGAGGGGGGTTATTGATAATTGAAGTTCTACGGGGACAACCTTTGGGAATCCTGATGATCGGACATAAAGAAAAATGAGGAAAATTTGAGTTAATTATAACTTGTAGTCCTAACGTGTACAGAGATATGTTCCAAACTTCAGTATTCGATAATCACGTTGCATGTTTTCCTACAACCTTAAAGGTGTCATCTTTTCAATTGTAATTGTAAATAATTAGCAAAATGAGTTAA